GGCGCTTTCTCAAAAAGTTGCAAATAGAGATACCATTTGACCCAGCAATTCCACTATTGGGAATATACCCCAAAAAGACCATAAATGACACCCAAGCAGATATATGCACATTCATGTTTATTGTGGCTTTGTTCACAATAGCAAAGAGTTGGAAACCACTCAAGTGCCCAACAACAAACAAATGGATAGAGAAGCTTTGGTATATTCACACAATGAAATAGTATGCTGCATTGAAGAACAAGGAACTCATGCAATATTATTCAAAGTGGGTGAGCCTGGAGGACATTATGCTGAGTGAAATACCTCAGTCACAAAGAGACAGATACTGCATAGTACCACTGTTGTAAAAAGGGACTGACATTGGGTTTGGGGGGAGACTGAGAAAGATGAGGTAAATTATAGATACCGCACTGACACAGATGAGGGAGAAAACTGTTTAAAAGGGATATATGAATTATGTATTGCTGTCATGACAGGAGTCCAGAAGGAAGGCTACATAGTGAAGTGGACCTGGGGGGAGGGATTGCATAACAATGATAGAATTTTTCTTTTACTTTTCAAAACGAAGGCTGCATAGTGGAGTGGACTTGTGGGGAGGGATTATATAACAGTGAAAGAATTTTTCTTTTACTTTTCAAAGAGAAGAGCAAACTCGGGGACGGGGGGGAGGTTGGGCAGGGAGAAAAGTACAACAATAAATGAATGGAAATCCAAGTCTCTGTAAACTTTCATCAAAATGAACAAAAAGTAAAAAGGTTAGAAAAAAGACTTTAAAAAAAGCAAAAATTCTTGACAAAATGTAAAATGAGAGAGAAAAGGAATATATGCACAGAGAGACATACGCATACATACCCACACCACTCCTAGAAATATACCTTTTATATTTCTGAGGAAAAACACCACGTTCTGGTCCAGAAACTCCTCAGGAACAGGCGCACAGGTCACGTGCAAGACGAGCTTTGTCACTGTTTGCTTAACATTGTTCTGAAACAAGGGGAACAGAGGATTATCATCCTGAGATACAAGGTCCACTCAGGGAAGGTCCCTGCATGTCCCTCCTCGACACAGAGCTTTCCACGAACACAGCCACAGGTACGTGGTGAGTGGTGTGCACACAACCAGCTGAACGGCCCCTGGGAGCACATGGTCACCATGGACGGATGCTGGGCCTAGCTCCTCTGCTATTCAGGAAAAACATCTGGATAGGGCCCTACAACCCCCCCAGGTCTGAACTGAGTGAGTTCCAGGGGCTCATGGAGCAAAGAGGTACAAGTCCATGGAGCACACACAGGTTGATGCGTACACCCTGGCTGTGAACTTTGACCACCACCCTGGTGATCTGGGCAGTAAAGAGAGAGCTCAGGCTGCACTGTCCTCTGAGGACTGGCCCTTAGCTGGCTTTCCAGGACACCCTGAAGTCCTTGGAAATCCTGCCTGCTAAGAGTGAGTTTGCTGGTCACTTTTTAAAGCTAGGATGAGAATAGAAGGGGGCAGGGAAACTAGATGAATGGAAACAGAACCACCAGCATGGAAACAAGGTGGATGTTCTGGCTAACGTCACAGGTTAATCTGTGCAGAAATTTCCAGGCCCGCCCCCTGCCCTTTGTGGACTCTAACCACCTGTCTGCTTCAGGGGCAACAAACATAGCCGTGTGTCCTAGGGACTCGCTGGACCTGGAGGGGCCTTGGGTCCTGTGTTTCTCACACACACACACCCTGTCCTGGGGCCAGCGAATGTGTGTGTGTGTGTGTGTGTGTCACGCATACACACGGTCCTGGGCCCCCCTGTTCTCTCTCTCTCTCTCTCTCTCTCTCTCTCACACACACACACACACACGGACGGGAGGCCCCGGCACACCTTGCCAGGCTCCCTGCTCACGGCGGTCTGCTCCACGTTGCTCACAGACTGGCCCAGTGCGCTGGCCTCGAGCTGTGGAGTCTTCCCTGGAACAGGAATCAGGGGACAGAAGGCCCAGTGAGGCTCCCTGCGGCCGGCTGGGTCCCCGCGCCCATGACACGCAGCCGCCACCAGGACACTATCACCGAGCCGCTGCACGGGGCCCGGCCTGCGGCCTCTGACACGGAAAACGGTGGCCCACCGTCCACAGGCCAGAGCTGGGGAAGTTCATGGGGGGTGCACACGCGAGTGTGTGTGTGTGTGAGAGGGAGGGAGGGTGTCTGTGTGTGTGTGTGTG